CCCCAAAACCCCAAAACCCCAAAACCCCAAAACCCCAGCAGCTATTTCTGGGTTGATCATCAATAAATCATTACTAAAGGCAGTAACTCTAGCTAAGGCTTGCTCTTGTATGATCTAAATGCTCTTTAAGTGGCTCGTCGTCAAATTCATTCTTGTAGTCTCCTATAAGGGTTATAAGAGAGGACATACCTCTAATTATCTCCTTCATTTTAGCACTAGCTCTTGATTGGATATCCGTGATTTCTTCAGAAACCTTGCTACTCGAAATCATGATATGAGCCTGATAATGCTTAATAAAGCATGCGGTGTCCATTTCAGGATGCACTGGGAGCTCCATATGCGTCCAAATCTTTACTTTATTCTGGTGAGGCTTTAAACTCTGCATTATCTGTTTGATCTTTTCCTTATTCAATGGCTTTGCTTCCTGAACTTTCTGATTCATCTTCCAAAGGAACTGCTTGTTGGATAACTTGAAGAATCTAGAAGAGGAGTTAAGCATATGCAGATTTAGTAAACAAGAGGGAAGGTTTACTTACTCCAAGAACTTTTGTTCATCTATCCCATCAACTTCTTGCAGCTTGAGCTCTGGTTTGGTGTTGTTCTGAATCCTCTTGATGTTGTCATCAATATACACCAAAAGGGAGCTGATATCAGAATCTTCACTGTAAAAATCAAGAGCTCTGCTAAACTCATCATAGCTGTGTCCAATTTCCTTAATGCTTGTTGTATCTGTCAACTTTATGCTATCTTTGATCTTGGTCAGGACTGTCTGCTTGAAGTTCTCAACCTGTTCAGGATTCTTAGGTGCCATTTTGAGGCTCACCTTATACCATGTGGCAAGGCATAGCTCATAATCGCCTAGATTTTTCTTAAGAATTTTCAAAATATCCTCTTTTGGGATGATCCCAGCTCCCAAAGAATCTTCCTTAGCATGTTTAGTCTCGGGGCCAGCTTCTTCTTCTGAAGGGGAAGAGCTGCTGTATTTGTATAATAAGAGACCAGCCCCTGCAAGGGCTAGAATTCCACCTCCGATTAGCACTAATTTTCCTTTCTCCATTTTAGTATATTTATTATAATTTTCCAACCTTTGGATACTAGGTAGGGGTTTTGGGGTTTTGGGGTTTTGGGGTTTTGGGG